TCTCTTCTTCTGGCTCTCAGCCTCCAATCCTGCAGAGCCTCATCCCTCCGTTCCCCAAACCTGCAGAGGAAGCCATCATTGAGGTTCTGAAGTACAGCCAGAAGGACATGGATGCTGCCATCGCCAGGGTGCAGGCAGAGGTTTGGATTTTTATGCCACTCTGGTTCTGTTTTCACTCATTAATCAGATTTAATGTGAAGATAATAAAAGTTACTTAAACTTTTTCAAACAGGCCAAGGAGAAAGAGGATCAGTGGAACGCCAAGGTTAAAAAGCTGCAAGACGATGGTCAAGAAATGAGGTGAGCTTTGAATGCTAACTTTACGTTTTTTGCTTTTACAAACTTTCTCAGCTGCTTGGAATTAGTTTTAATGATATTTAGGTCTAGAAAAATAAAATGTTAAGTTTTGCTACTCAAGTCCTTCTGCATCTTTATCTACTTTGAAATATGGTAAATACATTGATAGTACAGTAACCACAACAAGCTGTGTAATTAAATATGAATGAAAAAAATTATAATATTCATTATTGCTCTACAAATGTTTTAATTCAGCTTAAAAATCAGAATAACTTGAAATGACAAACATGATTACTTCTGCCATTTCTCAGATTCCCTTTTTTGAACCTTATTCTGTATTGTTTCTTTTAAAATCATTTTTAACTAAAATGTTTTTTGTTTGTTTTTAATTTTAACTTTTTGGTCTGTTTTAATTTTTTTAAGATATTCTTTTTTGGGGTTGGGAGGTAAAGTTTTACATAATTTTACAGCGTATTATCAAAATGCTCCTCTCTTTATTTTCTTCACTTTTACGGATTTTAAAGTAGTTATTTTAATTAAGGGCCACTTATAAAACCCACTTTGGATTTGTTATTATTCATAGAACATGAGGATGGTCAAACTGAACTATCTGAACTCTAATTTCATGTAAAATCTTCTTCAATAGAAAAGTAATGGCAGAGTTTGAGCTGCTGATTGCAAATATGAATGGTGAGTTTATATAAAGCACATCTGATTTATTCCTCTGGTTTTTGTTTTCCTTAAAAACCCTAAAAGTATTTTATTTTTCCTCTTGAATAAATTAGTGAGTCAGGAGAAGGAGCGGGAGGAGGCGCAGAAGAAGCTCAGCCAGGCTCTGATGGAGAAGGATCAGGTGTCCGGCGACCTGAACGCCATGGAGCGGTCGCTGGGCGAAATGTTCAAGAGGCTGGAGAAGTACAAGGAGGTGGTGGAGGGCTACAAAAAGGTCCGATTCTCAGAGGAACGCCGCCATTTTGGTTCTGGATGGGAGCAAAAAGAAACAAATAAAATCCTTTTTCTCCCTCTGCCAGAATGAAGAGACGCTGAAATCCTGCGCGCAGGATTACTTGGAAAGGATAAAAAAGGGCGACCAGCGCTACCAGACGCTGAAGGCTCACGCCGAGGAGAAGATCAACCTGTAAGACGCCAAAACTCGGATTTGGTTTTAGCTGCGCATTAGCAACTAACTATTATTTTGGTTATTGATTAATCGATTACAAAAATTCATCAGATTTCTTCATTTAAACTTTTTTTTTTACAATATTGGAAATACTTTTAAAGATAAAATATCAATTCCCTTTTTAAATAAGAAAATATTATATTGCCTAAAATAACATGGCGTTCCTTTAGCGTACGTTTGTATTTTTTAGTTGCAGATGCATCCTTTGCTTCAAGTAATCTTCTAGCATTTTAAAAGTATTATGGCGTATTCGGGCCATCATGGATGGAAATAAAACCAAAAAAAACTTGGAAATTTGACTTTCAAAAGTATTTTGTAGCAAATTTTAGATTTTCCAAACTGAATTTTTCAAGATTTTTTTCCCTAGATAAGTTCTGAGATTAGTGTCTAAATTTGAGTTTTTATTTGTATTTATTTCATCTACAGTAACCCTAATACGCCATCGTACTAGTATTTTGTAGTTCAGTATTAATTGCAGCTGTTTTTTCTTTTTCTTGTTTGTTTTTTTTTCTTCTTTTTTCAGCAAACAGCCTCTTTTTAGTTTATATGGTTCAGTTAACAAATGATTACCAAATTGGTTGGCTATTATTTCAGTAGTCCATTCATCACTGTTAATCTGATAAATAGTTTTGGCTGTAGAGACTAAAATTTACTTTGTTTTTTTAGCGCAAATGAGGAAATTGCTGAAGTTCGATCGAAATATAAGGCGGAGGTTTCGGCTCTTCAGGCTCAGCTGCGGCGGGAGCAGCTGAAGACTCAGTCGCTGGAGAAAAGCCTTGATCAGAAAGTGAGTGATCATCAGTGTGAACTGATTTATATATTATTTTTTAAATTTTAAAAAATCTGCATGTGAATTTGTTTCAGGAAAAAGAAGTGGAGGAGCTCACCAAGCTCTGCGACGAGCTAATATCAAAAGTGCAGAAAGGTTGAGCTCAACTCTAAATACTTTTTGTTTCTGCTTCACGTTTGTTTGTTCTTTTTTGTGTTTTAATAGACTGTATAATAAAGACACTTTACAAATTTCAATATTTTCTCTAAAGTCTCATTTTATTTAAGCAGGCACCACTAGAGGGCAGTGTTCTGCTCCACTTGTAACACGTATCCAGTAGTTATGGACGCCGATGTAACATTAGAGCATCGTTATAGTTTTCGGTGTTCGCCGTTTTGTCCCGTCATCTGTCTGGAGCCAACGCTGGTTCCTGCAACTAAACAACACAAAGCTCCCCTTCTTCCCCGAGCAATCACAGGCTCCTGTCGCATCACTCCCACAGCGGCACAATGCGCTTCCTGAATGGTGAAAGGAAACCCTACCTAGATTGGACCTGAAAGAGGCTGGAGGGGGAGAAGATGCTGCAGGGTCGGTCGGTGTACACGTCAGTCATCTAAAGAGCCACCGTGAGACTAGAACCTGTGTCTGGACACGACCGACCCGGCACTCACCCACACACACTTTAACCCACTCAAAGGGAGACAGGACACCGGGGCAAACCCTGACATGATCCCATTCTGCACCCCTAACCAACAGGAACAGATTCACAAGCGAATCCTAGTTTTTTTTTTTGTTTTGTTTTTTTAAAGGTTCTTTCAGTTATTAAATTTAAAAACTAAAAGTTTGATGTGGATTTGTTACCACAGTGTAACCAGGTCACGTGATTATCTGTTAATTTTATGGATAAAGCAGTGCAATTCTGTTTCTCTTGTAATTAGAATAAAGCACAAGACTAATATAAAAGATTCTTAAAGCTACAGCTAACTTTTACAAACTTAAAACTGTTACCATTGCTGTATTTCCATTACAAACATGTACAAAACTGTTGATACGCCACTAAAGCTGAAAAAACACAATTCCGCAATTACAACGTTTCCATTAACAAGAAATATAATTAGAATCACACATGAATAAATTTAGGCGTTTTCTCCAGTAGTAGCATCCGGTTGTTGATCACATGACCCTTCGCAAAGTAATTTTGAAACTACCTCATCAGCGCCAAAAACAATCTTTTCACATTATTTGACATAAAGCAAATTTCCTTTTGAAATATCAAATTCCTCAATTTTAAGGTTAATGTAAAGGCAGGTCATGTCACAGTAATTTCCATTTACATATTTTGAAATAGGGATGTTGTAAAATATTTTAGTAATGAGTAATCTATTGATTATTCTTATGATGATCAAGTAATCAGATAAGAGATAAAATAAAACATGGGTAAATCTAACATAACAGCTGTATTACTATTGGATAGCAATGTCAGTCAAAATTTTCACGTTTGAGCTTCCCTAACAATAACTTTTCTGTATTTTAGAAAATTAACCTGTAAGAATAGCTCACTTTATAAGTTAACCTGGAGAAAAGTAATACAAAAATCTGAAATTATATTCAATTTAATAATAAAGAGGCAGGCTCACAAATACGCTCATAAAAAATGTCTGTACTCCAGCTTTTGGTTTATGTATTAATCTTCAGTTTAACAGACGAACTGTCACCTTGCCCAGACATTTATATCTCTGGTGTTCATGTTAGCGACAGATTTGATGCCATAGTTGGTAATACAGAAACATCTACCAGTTACGTACCGTCACGATGCGCTCTGCCACACATTTGTTATGACCGGGATAATATGAAATTTATTTTTCCGGTTTGTCTGTTAAGCTACACATCTAAAACACAGCCGCCAGCAGTCTATCCGCTCACCTGTATAAATAATTCCGCCGTTCGCTCTGAACCAGCAGCTCCGGGAAGAGAAAAGCTGCCGTACCCCAAGCATCCTCCCGTCATTTTAAGGATGCTTATTGGTCCCCCGAAAAACGACAAAAACCCGGACATAATCATGAATAAATAAAATCTTCCAGGGCCGAACTTGAAAACTGGACGTTATGATGCTAACAGTTAGCTTTTGTCAACAACTCAAGCGGAAATGGGAGCGATGTGCAACGCAACACGGTGCGCTAAAATAATAAAACATAACTTACGAAGCTTCGAGGCAGATACATTTTCCTCGAGTAATTTTAAGAATGGAGATACTCGAATAATTCGAGTAATCGTTTCAGCCCTATTTTGAATATATTTCTGATAATTAAAATGTATTTGACAATGCATTTAACTGACAAAACCCCCATAAAATTAAAGAAATCTGTTTCAAGAGAATGAACATTTAGTTAACTTGGTGTAAAATATTTGCAACTTGTGACTACAAAACATGTTCATTACATTTTTTTCTGAGCTCCTTCCAGTTGACCAAAAGTACTGGAGCTCTCTGGTTGGGTTGTTAGGTAAAAGGTGCACCTGAAATGTGACTTAACAATCCACAGGTTTTTAAACAGATAATTTTCCAAACACCTAGAAACATTAACAGCTAAGAAACTGCTTTGTTTTTTTTTAAGGCTTGGGATGTTTGTTTTTTTTAGCAAAGGTTGAAACCCAAATGAAAGTTCAAAATGTCAAAGAAAATTATCAAAAATAAATTGCATACAGAAAATGCCTAAATACTGGCATAAATTGGTTTAAAATGATGAATTCAAAGGGTACAATACACAAACAGTATACTTTATTAATATTACATAGATATGAAAAATGACTTACTCTGAAAAATAAACCTTTGATACATTTTTAAGAAAATAAATTAAATATTCTGACTACAGCTTAATAAACTGTTGTTGGATAAGGAGGTGGTCTCTGCCGGTTCGTCCCAACATGCTAAAGACTAATAATGGGAACCTACAGAAAGAAAGTTAAATAATAAAGATTACAGAGGACCAGAACAGTTTACATGGAGGGTGGGAACACAATCCCTCCACCCTTTGCAGTCTTTGGCAACGTCTGCATGCCATAAACAGCTACCAGTGGGAGTGGGATGGAGAACGGTAGTGGTCAGCATTCCTAACAAATGCATCTTTAACAAACAACCTGAGTCAAAGCTTTAAACCAGCCCTTCTGTGAACCTTTAGTACCCTTTTCGTTTGCATCCTCCGCGCTCGTCGGACCCAAACATCCGTTTAGGAAAACCCAAAGTCGGCGTAAAAGTAGTGTGAGCTTCTAACAGGTAGAAAAAGCACCAGGATGTGGAAGTTTTGTTGGGTAACACACTTTTTCTGGGTTTTCCAAGCAAGCGTTCTTGATGAAGGATGGCAGTTCAGGCTAACACTGAAAATGGATGTGCTGGTGCTGGTGCACCTTCCCGTCCACGTGGGAGTGGGTGTGCGTGTGGATGTCCGTGTAGATTTTGGGGTAGATTTTGGGCGGGACGCTGGGTCCGGCCTGGCTGAGGAGCAGCTGCTGCTGGGCCAGGTAGTCCTCGTAGTTCAGGCAGTCTTTGTCCGGGCTGGAGGAGCTGGAGGACGGCGCGGGGCAGCCCCGGTCCCGCTCTCGGTACGGCACGCGGTGGGAGCTCTGCGGCGGCGCGGCGCTGGGAGGTGGGCAGTGCTTCCTGCTCTGGCAGAAACACAGCAGGATCGTGGCGAAGATGAAGACTACTCCAGCCGGGATGCCGATGATGACGGGCCAGGGGAGGGAGCTGGTGTTGGACGGGAGCAGGGAGACGGGCAGCTTCGTGTCTGCAAAGAGAAGAAACATAAATAAGGAAGATCTCAACCTGATTCATAAACTCATGAATAAATGGCTGCTTAAATACTGCAGGTATTGGTTTAGAACATTTATATATGACATTTTAATGTGTCAATATTACATTAGAACTGCCTTAACATTTAACTTCCTCCACAGATTCAGTGTCAGATTCAAATTCCTCAGAAAAACACAGATTACTTTGAACCAATGTCTGCATGAGGTGTGAATGATATCGGGATTGCACTGCAAAAACACAGAATCTTACAAAGTATTTTGATCTAGTTTCAAGTGCGAATATTTTATTACAGACAAAACTAAATTACAACTAACATTTCAGCAAGAAATACAAGTTTCTGATAAGTAAATAATTCATTAATATTGATGAAAAATTACTAGATCAGATTATTTTACTTCTAACACTCAGGAGTGAACTGATCTGCTTTGGAACGAGAAAATTTTCAACTTTTTAAAATTTCAAAAAGTCTAATTTTTTTCCCATTTCAATTGTTTTTTTCTAGCAAATTTCTGAGTTATTTTCTCACAAATTTAAATTTTTTTTAGTTCAGAAATTTCAATGTTTTTTTCCTAGACAATATGATCAATATGATATGATTTTTTGTCAAAAAAAATCTTAGATTTTTTTGACAAAAAAAAATAGATTTGATTCAAATTTTGAGACGAATCTCAGAATTTTTTTAGAATAAAAAATTCTAAAAAAAATTAGAATTTTTTAGAATTTCAAGTTACTTGAAAATTACTTGAGTAATTTTCAAGTTTTTTTTCTAGAATTTGTTTTTTTAGCTTGATCTCTAAATTTCTCCGTTTTTTTCGTCTTTTGGAAATCAGAAATTTCCCAGTTCTTTCTAGAAAATTTCTGTGACTAATCTAAAACCTTTGGAGCTTTTCTCACAAATTTTAAGATTTTGAAGCTCAGAGATTTCCAGGTAAGTTTTTGTTTTTACCCTGACTTGAGTTTTTTCAACAAAAAAAAAAACAAAAAAAGACTTTTCAGGGTCAGAAATTTACAAGTACATTTTCCTAGAAAATCTCTAAGATCAAGATAAAAATTTCTAAGTTTTTTGGGTGGAAATTTACCGCCCTATGCTCCGTCTTACAAAGCAGACCAGTAGCGGAGCAGCATCTCGGCCCTCACCTGGCAGCACCGTCAGGAAGGCGCTGCGGAAGCTGTAGCCCATGGTGTTGGCGCCGAGGCAGATGTACATGCCGGCGTCGTCCTCCTTGGCGCGGGTGATGAGCAGCTTGTTGAGGTAGGAGCCGTCGGGCCGGGACCACACCTCCCCGGTGGGCAGCACCACAAACCTGTGGTCCCCCACTTCGATGGTGGAGTTGTAGCGGCTCTCCTCGTGGGACTCCACGCGCTTTAGCCACTGGATGACCGGCTTCACGTCGCTGCGCACTTTGCACTGGAGGGACGTGGTGCCCCCGTAGTCCACCGTGGTGTTTACCGGGTGCGTCCCGGTCAGAACCGGTTTGGAGCTCGTCCTTTCTGCACAGACGCAAACAAAAGAACCGTCACAAACATTGTTTTAATCCAAAATAGGAACGTAAATAATTAATTGCCGATTAATGTTTTATTAGTTTAAGAAGAAGTGCAGGTAGAAGAACATCATCAAAATCAAATCAGCAGAATGTTTCGGTATATTTTTCCTAAGAATGGGATTCCAGCTAAGTCAGTAGACAAACGCATAAAAGAAAACAATCAAACCTCATTCTATTTGTTTAGCAAATGATTTTCATACTTTTTTATTATTTTAAGAGTGAAAAAAGCAGTTTTAACTCCTCACAACAATCAACTCATGAATCAATAACTTGCATTCCTCGTCCAAAGCAGCCTAAAGGTAAGAGCTTGTAATTGAGAGAGAGGCAGGAACACCACATGTAACACAAGAAGTATGTGTGATTAGCTTCCTCTCCGTGCTCCTGGTTGTACAGCGCTGCGCTCTCGGGGGCTGGAGGGGGTTCTGGCAGACAGCTGGGCTTTAATCAGCTCCAGATTGGCTGGATGGTCCCCTCCCTGAACAAACAGTGGGGCACCAGCCCTCACTCTCAGACTGCTTCCTCAATGTGCTTCTCATTGCTGAGAGAACATTCGTCCAGACCTGCTGATCACAATCTGACTGCAGCGAAGGAGGTTAGTCTGCAGACCTGCGATGGTGCCGATTTGAGTCTATTTCCTGCAGCTACAAGCGCTTTGTGAAAGTATTTACACTTGGGCTGAAATGATTAACCAGATGAATCGATTATTGAAATAATCATCAAGTAATTTAGTAATTTATGAATCTGAGTATACAGACTCACCAAAAGGAAATACGCTGAAAAAACAACATATTCACAGCAGTAATCAAGCCAAAAATTGCAAAATGTTTTGATAAATTTAGCATTTAAGATGAAAAACATTCTTTCTAAATATGTTTTACCCAAAACTCCTCAGGTAGTAAAGTTTTAGCTTCACCCAGGTCAAATTACGCTTAAAAAAATCTTCTATTAAACAGCTATTGTTATCTGATTATTGATCAGAAATAATCAACAGGTCAGCTGTATTGATATGAAGTCAAACAGAAAGGGTTGATGTTAGACGTATCTTTTAAATGCATCCTTTGCTACAAATGATCACCCAATGAAATGCTACGTTATTGAATTTTAGGCAATAAAATGTTTTCTTATTTAAAAATGGAATTTAATTATTTGCATTTTCTTGTACATTTTCAATACTGAATAAAATAAGTGAAAGTGGTGAAATGAAAAATTGGTATAATGTGCAACTTTTTAAAATCCGAATAATCAATAAAATATTTGATTACTAAAATAATCGGTAGCTGCAGTCAAAGTCAGATAACACCAAAATCAAACTTTCTGATCTGATACTGCTAGATCTGTCAGAATAATCAATTAATCAATTAATCACATAATAAATTAAAACAAACTCAATAATGTCCATTTGTATGATTTATGGTTTTTCTCTTTTTTACCAAAAACTGGATGATAAAACTCTTCAGTCTGGTGTTTTGGTCTCATAAGGCCCTTGTTTTGAAGGATGATTTAGTTTACAGAGATTTAATAATTTATTTTATTTGTTGTTTTGCTTATTTATTTTGGATATTTTGTTCTTGCATTATTATGCCATTGTCTCAAAGCAACATATTATTGTTAATCGCTATAAGTTCTAGGACAATTTATCATGCAGTGAAAGTCGTTATTGTGACAGGCCTCAACACTGCACATCACCTGTCCCTCACCTATCTACTGAAACACGGTGGTGGCAGTATCATGACACTGGAGCTGCCTTTCTTCTATGAACGACTACAGCTGGTTTGGTTGATACTCACGGATGACTTCGACCTTGTAGGTGGCGTTGATCTCCCCGGCCCGGTTGGAGACCCTGCAGGTGTATTTGCCGCTGTGCTCCGGCACCACATTCTTCAGACTCAGAGTCCACTTCCTCTGGCGGCCCTCGCCGACTTCCTGCTCCGTCAGGGGCCGGTCGTCCTTCAGCCACACGATGTCGGGTCGAGGGTTTCCGCTGGCTGAACACTTGAGGCGCACCGTGCTGCCCACGGGACACGCTATCACCCTGCGCCGCATCTTCTCCGGCTGCGTGAAGCGAGGACGAGCTGCCAGGGGGAAACATTTAGTTTGAATTTCCAAAGATTGGGAGGAAATAATTGGGTGGGCGTTTATCATATTGTTTATGATTTATCGTAAAAGTGTCTATTTATTGTTGTCATTATAAATTTCAGTTAATGATGTTAAGTTAAAAAAAATATCAAAGCTGACAATATGATCAGAAATAGGTTGGTAAATAGATTAACTACTAATTTAGCTTAATTCTGAAGGCAGTTGATTTTCATTGGGAGCATCAGAGTAAATACATTCCACAATGTTCAGATTTCTATTAGTAAAGCAAATGAAAACGGCCATGTACAGAATGATTTTCCTTAAACTTGACACGTACCAAGCCCCTTTGTGTCGGTCCATCGCATAAAATCCAGATAAAACACATTAAAGTTTGTGGTTGGAAAGTGACAAAATATGGAAAAGTTTGCAAGGCAGTCCAGTTTGTTGAAAGCAGGACATCAGTCTTGGAGTTCTTACCCAATTTGTCACCACCTGGTTCTGGTTCTGCTCCGTTTGATGGTCCTGAATTATCAGAACGAGGGTCATCTGCAAACACAAAGGGATAGAAATACGTCAGCGCATGACTACATGACAGGAAAAGGCCTTTATTTCTACAATCATCAAACACTGAATACAGTTTTTATAACTTAAATGTGAGACCTATTATGCAAAATTCACTTCTTTCTTTGTGTTTTTATGCTTTTATTTGTGTCTCAGCTGCTTCTAAAAACAGTTCAAGAGCTTAAAAACCACTCAGCTGTTTTTTTGGCAACAAGTTAATGTTTTTAGGAAAAGGAGCAGTTTTAAAAACATTCTGAATGTTGAGTCACATTCTACGTTACCTAGCAACCCCAGCTGAGCCCAGACCCGTTACCTAGCAACCCCAGCTGAGCCCAGCCCCATTGCCTAGCAACCCCAGCGGAAATCCAGCATGTGGCAAGTATTTCGTTTTTGACTTACTATTTAGAAACAACTTTTTGCATTCTTATTGTGTATAGTTGTATAATTAAGCTCTTGTTTGCGGCCATTTTGAGTATAAACGCTGAGTTGAGGGCGTGGCCAGCAGCAGCTTATTTGGATTTAAAGTGACAAGACGCCCTAAAACAGCTCATTCTGAGAGGAGCTAAAATAATTTACCAGACTAACATTTCATTATCTAAGAATGATTTTGTGCCATAAATGTAATGAACATTATTTTCTGTAGCCCCCAGACTTATCTTAACGTGCTTAAGGAAGCATAATAAGTCACCATTAAAGCAAGCAGCACTTTAACATCTGACCCTGTTGCTGCTACAGCGTCAAACTGGCCTAGAAATGAGTTTTAAGACTCTGCGCAGGCTGCATGCTGGGGTCACACTCTGCTGCATTTGGAAGTAATATGATCGTTTTTTATTAAGCCCTGTTAGAGCGGACAGCTGTGGAGTTTAGTCACTGGCTGACATCATGCAGCCCAGCTAAGACCGGGCTTAAAGACGTTATAATGACTGAAACTTCATCCACATTTGATGCTCTGCAGACAGAGACATTAAGCAGAAGGTACATCCACAGTCACAGGTTTTCTAACCAATGCATTCTTAAAATAAAATTAAAAATACATTTTAAAAATCAGCGAACGTATTCAATGCGACTCAGCGTAACTATTTCTACCTTCTGTGACTGATTTCTGGCTCTGCTGGATTCTTCTGCATCGAGTCTGACTCACTTGATTCCCTCCTCTTGGTTTGATTGGGTCAGGTAAAGAGGCCAGATGTGACTTTTAACCCCCGCCGCTCTGCCTCCCTCTGAGAACCCTGAAACCGTCGGAGCTCTCCTGGGTTCTCTAGGTACAGGCCCTCCTTTGTTTGTCCCCTGCAGCACCGATCCCAGCCATGATGTCATGGCTATTTGAAGGGGCTTTAACTGGCCAACGATAATAACCCAAGAAATATTTCCCTCTTGCTCACTTGGGCTCTCCACATTCCTGCCGGTTCCTGAACCTCCCAATCCAAACAGATCCTGGTCCTGCACTGCCGGGGTTTTCTTTCTGACTTCAGTTTTTTTTCCTTGAATTTGTTTCCTCTCTGCTTTTTGGTGATTTTAGGGAACAATGATGCTCTTTATGCATCTGAGCCGTTAAAGCTATCCCGTGCCACTATTGTTTTGGCACAATGCAGGCACAGAATGCTGCAGAGGTGGGACATTTGAAGGCCAAACGTATACATTTAGCCGTTTCAGAGATTAATCCAGTGTGGTGGAAAGTAACCAAAAGCTGATTTTTATCGTAAATAAAAGAAACAAACAGTTTTCTGCTTATTTCTCACACTTTGATTAAGTCTGAATGAAGTTTAGTGTGAGAGACAAGCAGAAAACTAACTGAAACAAAAACTTTGTGATGTAGGGCTACAACTAACGATTATCTATTAATCAATTATTCAACCGATCAATTCCTAAGTAGGGAATAGTTGTAGATTAGGACTGAAACGATGAATCAGATAAACTGTGTTGAATCGATTACGGAACTAATCGTCAACTATTTGAGTAATCAATTATATCGATTAATCAATATAATCATTGATTAATCTGATGATTAACCAATTACTCAGATAAAAAATTGGCATATTTGTCAGATTTTTCATTTAACTACTTAACTAATTTTATACAATATTAAAAAATACATTAAAAGATGTAAAAAAAATATTTCCTTTATTAAATAAGAAAATAAACGTTTTATTGCCTAAAATAAAATAGCAGCATTCCTTTAGTGAACACTTGATCATCTGCAGCTGAAATATAGTTTTAACATCAACATGTGAAAAGTTCAGTCCTTTCTGATTGACTTAACAACACAGTGCAGGATTAATCTTTCGACTAGTTTTTCTATTAACCAATTAATGAATAGATAGCAAAAGTGCATAAGATTTTTTTCTGTACAAAATTTGAATTGGGTGAAACTAAAACCACTTGTGAAGTTCTGGAGAAAACATTTTTACATTTTTAAGTTGTTTTTTTCTTAAGTGGAATATATAGATATATATTTGTACAGTTCTGGCTGAATTACATGTCTAACTGTGTTGTTCTTTCAGCAGTTGGCCTTTTCTGAGTCTGTGCACTCCAGTTAACAATAGATCACTAAATGAGTTGATGATTACTTAAATCAATTAATCACAATTAAAGCAAGTTAGTAACCCATTCTAAAATAAACATATTAACTGATAATGTGTAATTCATTTGAGTCAAGGTAAATAACTATCTGCAATATTTACAGAGTCTTATTGCCCTTCTAAACTGCTGATAATAATCACTTGCAAAGTGGAAAAGAAGAATTATAATACTGATTATTTCTATTCATTTTTTAGATTAAATTGGTGTTTTTGACAGGCAGATGGTCTTGCCTCCATCCAGTAGTTGTTAAAGTCCTGCAATCATCTTGTGACGCGAAGCAGAGCAGTTAAAGTAGACGAAAGGTCAGCTCTGAGGCGTTGGTGCTCACCACATACGCCAGTAAACATTACAAAAATCTGGATCCAAATGCAACCTATTCTGAGGCTGAAAACTTCAAGTTTGTTAAAATGCTATTTTGATCCAACTCGAATCCATTCATGATGTCCCTGCAGTGTTTATGGTCTGACGCCATCCTTTCTCACTTCATTCACAAAACCAGCCACAGGAAACGGTCCCACCACACACGCTTTCTGCTGGCTGAGGCTCAAGAACGGGCCAGAGGAGAGATTTTTATATCAGAGTGAGCTCTGGGGATGGCTGGGGATTAGAACTGGAACGATTAATCGTGATGAATCAATTATTGACATAATCATATCATCCAATTTAGTAATCAATTAATCGTTAACTGGAGTATACAGACTCAAAAAAAGGCCATTTGCTGAAAGAAGAACACACTCAGAGCAGTAATTAGGCCAAAACTGTAATAAAATGTATATATGATTTGCGTTTACGATAGAAAAACAACATTGTATGTAATCGATTAATCGTCAAAAGAATTGATTAATTCTAAAATAGTCGCTAGTTGCAGCTCTATTGGGGTTTATGTTTCCAGAGAAAGTTCAGCACAACAGCCTTGCATCACCACCACAACTAACACGTGCAAACATCTGGATGTTTTACTGCAGATGGGAGCAAAATAAAAAAAAGTTTCACAAGAGCCAGCAGAAGAATTAGATATTTATCCCCTACATAAGCAGTTTATGTTAGCTGTTCACAAATTATGGTACTCCATATTCCTACTGGTGGCATTTACGCTAATCCACAAAATGGCGACAGCAAACGGGAGAAAACATGTGAATACATTTTCTGAAAATAGTATCTTCTGTTAAGTATTCATTTACCAATCGATGTATACTAATCACTATGCAACGCTTTGACCTTTTTGAATTATTCACCTAGAAATTAACCAAAGTATGAGAAAACTAAAATTACTACTACAACTAATAAAAACTAAATGGTATTTAACTAGTAATAACTGATATAAAAACCAGCAAACACACTGTAAAACTGATTAAAACTAACTAAATTAGACAAACACAATGTCACCACAAAATAAAACTAAAATATAATGAAAACGCAAAACTATTATAACCCTATCAAGTCTTTGTTCTTGTAGTAATATGACTTTTTCTGCTAATTAATTAAAAACCAACAGCCTGGACCCAATATTCAAAGTACGAACAAATAGAAGCTGCAAAACACAAGAAATATAGAAACACAAGGAGTGAAAAAAATCAAGACTTTCCCCCCAAAAATCAATCAGTAAAATTTGATTAATCAATAACATTTGATTAATCATTCAAATTTGATTAATCGGTAAAATCGATGTATCTCCCAGCCTCAGATTTCTGCTCTCATATCCGTCATCCTGCCTCAGCTGCTGGCTTATTGTCTCTCACTTGTTTTTGCAGCGGTGTGTTTTAATCAGATTACGGGGCCTCATTGTCAGAATCCTGCCAGTGAGCAATTATCATGAGCAAAACTTTCCATTAACCCAGCTAATTAATTTAGCTGCCTGCTAGCATGTTTCTCCAGAAGATCTGAGAGGAGTTTATTTATTTGAAGTTGTGTAAATGAGGGGTAGCCGACTCCCTGCGCAGCAACCATCACCCATCATCCATCACGCCGCTTTGTTGTTTCTTTGGAGTCGCAAAGAGAAGAGCTGCAGTCGGTCAGGACGACTGGAACCTGGCAGCGCTTCAAGAAGTTCAAGAGCATTCCTGTGCAAACAGAACCAGCAGAGAACTGAAAGAGGACGGTGAGGAGACGGGGCGGGGGGCATGTTCTGTTCTGGAGAGATTTCTTTCTTCCCATCTGTCCTCCCAAGAGCTATCTGAGGAATCTGGTCCATCAGCGCAACATGGCGCCTCCTCAATCCCTCCAGCTGGCTGTTTGGGCCCTGTTTGGATGGGGAGTCCTGACAACTGGCCCCATCAGCCCCCAAAGACCCCGTCCAGAGCATGCAGCGAGTCCTGCGTCCTCTGCAGAGTACGTCCCAGCAGGTTTTATCTCAGCTTTAGCATGGGATTGTCATATTAACGTTTACAAGACTGGAGGTAATGTTAATGTCTGCAGGGATGACATGCTGCAGAGCGGGTTCTAATAGTTTTGGGTTTTTCATTATGGTGTAATTTCATTCTGTTGTGGCTTTTTGTTTTAGTCAGTTTTAGTTTTTAGAGTGTGTTTGCAGCGTTTTTTAGTTATTATTAATTAAGTATTGCTTACTTTTAGTTTAGTAGTTTTAGGTTTTTTCACACTTTGGTTCATTTTTAGGTTTCGCCGTTTTCTCCTAACTTCTGCAGTCGCCATTTAATGAACTAGCACAGGAATATTGAGAACCGTAATTTGGCGACAGCTGACGTAAATTTCTTGTACTGGGAAAATATATCAATTTCATTTCAGTTCAAAAGGCTAATAAATAGATTCATAAACACAAAAACAAATGATATATCTATGATTTCAGTGTTTGTTTCATAAACCTAAGATATAGCTCGTTATAGTTTTTCCACATTAATTACCGTTTTTATTAATTTTTGTTGACAAAAATGTTTTCTCACTTTCAGTTTTCAGAAATCAAATCTGGCATTAAAAACAGCAGTGTGTGTTCGGTCGGTGGACGTCTCTCTTTTCGCTCTTTGCCACATGAGGAAGAGGAGGAATTACAGTAGAGAAGATCCGGGTTGAAGCCAGAAAGCTTCGTTTCAACTCCATAAAGGGCAAAAACCCTCCTGATGAAAATCAGAACCGAGTTTCTCAGCAGGTCTTCAGATTAAATATGAGATGCAGCTCATTCCAAAGAAACCGTAGAGTGTGAGAAGAGCTACAAACGTAGCCGGTTCAAATCTGAACCTGCACACCTCCAGCTTCAGATTTGGGATGATTTTATTTGGAGTTGGGAACGTTTTACATTGTGTTTGGGCTGAAAACTATCAATCAGATCTGGGAACCTTGCCGAACGGCGGCATGTCTGTTATTTGTGAGAGTGAGATCGGACTTTGACGTCGACGTGTAAGAAAGACGCGGCTCGCCACAAAAACCTGCTTCCTGAAATTTATCCACTTTGGAACCAGGTTTTAAAAATGATCATTTTTGGTCTAAAGAGCGATTAATCAATTCTGATGGTCAATCGATAAACCGATTCCGACAATCAATTAATCAAATAAAAACCTGGCACATTTTGCAGATTTTTCATTTGAGTTTTTAAAAGGTGCAAATAAACAATTAAATTTCTCTTTTAAATAAAAGAAATTAATGTTTTATTGCCTAAAATGCAACAACATACTACTGCCATGTAGGAAGGGATGCATCTGTAGCTAAATAAATACTCTTAACTGCAACGTGTGAAAAGTTCAACCCTTTCTGCTCAAATTATCATCAATGTAGGGCTGATCGATTATTGATTAGATAGCAAAGGGTTCTTCATAGATTTTTTTAACAGAATTTGAACCGGGTGAAGTTAAAGCTGCCATTTGAGAAGATTTAGTTAGAACATATGTAGAAAAGTAAGTTTTTTTAATCTTAAAGACAAAATGTAAGAATTTTTTTGTAGCGTTGCTTAATAACTTTTCTGAGTGTGTTGTTTTTTCAGCATGTAGTGTTTTTGACAATTAATTGATTACTACATTAGTTGATGATTATTTCAATAATCAATTCCCCCAGTGTATTATAAGCCTGGCGGGCCACCAGGCTTTACATGTGCCCCCACCAGGCTAAGCATTGTTTATTTATTTAAGTCTTTTTAAAATGTTTGCATTTTTTAAGACTTTGTACTTGGTGTTCAGGTATTACTCTTCCAATCTTCCAATAACACATGATTATCAAGTGATATTATCAAATTTCCTGTCAACTTTAAACATTTTTTGACTCGAAAACACGGCATGCTGCTGGATGAATGACTGTCTTAGTGGACTTAACAAGTTTTCTGGGGAAACTTTGCAATTAATCACGATTAATCATTTCAACCCTGTAGAAACAATTACATTTCTGTTCTCTCATCATCAAAGCTTTCAGCAACGCCTCTCCACTCAGGTTTCTTTCTTTTTTAAAACAAGAACTGTTCTGAGTGAACGGGTATCTGTAACGTAAAAACCCAAAGGGCGATGTCTGATACTGTTTAGCAGAGCTCTGTTGGCAACCCTGGCATTACAGATGGCTGCGCTCCAACATCTTCAGCCTCTAATTTAAACACAATCAGCTGACACCCAGGCTTTGAACTTGCTTAAACCTTGCTCTCGTGCGCGCCGCGCTGCATCAACCACTGTTTTCTGCGTTTCCTCTGATGCACAGCCGTCACGAGGTTGGGGTGAAACTCCTCCTGTGAGATACAGCAGACTCTGGGGCTAATTAGGCATCTTAGAGTAATTAGACTAAACACAGCCTTCACGCTCCACTCCTCTCATTCATCATGCTGCGCCCCGGTGAAGAGGAAATGCACTGTACCCAGACTGGGTCAGAGCGTCTCTAATCCTGGAAGCCCTGCGCAGAGCTCTGAGGCAAACCGGCACTTTAACACTGAATGTGGTTCTTATTGTGGACCTCCTGCCTGCACACAGAGAGTAGCCTGGGGAAAAGGAAGAGCTCAAGATCCAACTGAGTCACAGAGGATGAAGCCGCATGAAACAATATCCCAGGCTGCTGTTGACTTTGGACAGAGAGAGGTAAAGAGCTGCAACAGAGGCAGAGGCAAAGGGATCAGCCGGTAAAGCGGCAGAAATCTGGATGATGATGTCTTTAACCAGCGGCACGCTCTGCAGGGAAACGATGTCGCATGTCAGAACCAGAACGCTTCCCTTTAGTCCGATAGACTCGAGTCGATTGGGGACAAAACTGCAACATTTGTATGAATGTCATGATGAATTTTGCTGGACAATAAATTGTCCTAGTAGTTATTGTGATAAACAATAATGTTGTTTATCAAGTAATGTAATGGTAATGGCATAATAATGCAAGAATGGATTCATATATTTCAATAAACTTTAAATTGTACAGAGCATTTACCACTGGAACACATTCCAATTTAATTCAATTCAAAAATATTTTATTGATCCCAAAGGGAAATTAAATAAAATTTTATTAAATTTTAAATTACATTAAATATCCAAAATAAACAAAACAACACAGATTGAATTATGAAGTCCCTGTAATTAAAATTGTCCTTCAAAAAATGGCTAGTTGAGACCAAAACACCAGACTGAAGATTTTTGTCATCCAGTTTTTGATGGAAAGAAAAAACAATAAATCATGCAAACTAAAATTATTGAACTCATTTTAATTTATCAGGCGATTAATTGATTTATTGCTTAAACATTTGTTACATTTTCAAACAACAAATCAAAAAACCTGTTTACCTCCTTATCACTACAGCTGGGCAATACACCAATTTTATCCATTAGTTGAATTTATGGTGTTTGTAGAATTTTTTTTTTTTTAAACTTGATTTTTTTCCACCAATGGGATTCCATACTTCAGAGTGATGTCAGCGCACGCCGCCATCACCCGCCATCTTGCTTTACAGCTTCTATTTATTTTAACTTTGAATTCAGGTCAACTCTATGACAAAATATAAGGGTCAGACTCACATATCTTTTCTTTTTAATTACAAGAATAACGTCAAAATGTTACACGAATACGGTGGTAGTGATACAAGAGCAAAGTGTTAATTTTATGAGAATTTAAACATGAAAAATAACTAAAAAATTAAAGCTTCTTTCTCATTAAAACGTCTTTTTCTCATAATTTTAAGACATTCTTAATGTCATACATTTGCAGATAATGCAAATATTCCTAAATTAGCACTGCAAAATCTGTAACGTGGATTGTAAAAAATCACAATTAAAAAATCTGGAAGAGTCCGACCAATGTGAAAAGATGTTCAATATTATTTAATTTTAATTAGTACTTATTGAATGAGGAGACTGGCATGTATTTATCTTAACAGTTTAATGGTTTTCATCAACCGGCCCATTGAGAACACTGTTCTCGACAAACGAACCTGAGTTCGGCTAAACCGAACCGAACTGGTTGGTGTGAATGTAAACTGAACACCATGGTGTGAAAGCACCGTTGGGGCGCGTACCCACCGATAATGATGAGGGTGTAGTTGACGTTGACGCTGCCGAAGCCGTTCGTTGCCTGGCAGTTGAAGGTCCCGGCGTCGTCGGCCTCCACCTCCTTGATCTTCAGGCCCATCCGAAGCACGCGGAAGCGGATCCAGCCGCTGTGGATGATGCGTCCGTCTTTGGTCCACCGGATGAAGGGCGGCGGGTCTGCTTCCACGGGACATGGCAGCTTGATGGCGCTTCCCAAACGGGCCGTTTGTCTGTGGGTGACCCGGTCCGAAACCCGAGGAGGTCCTGAGGAGAAAGAAGAACAGAAATATGACGTGATTAGGAAAATAGAAATGGAAAATTATTTGGATATTTGCTTTAATTGAACCACATTACAGTGTTTTCCATCATGAAGAGCCACAACATCTCAATCAAATTAAAGTCGAGACTTTGACTAGGTCACTACAGAAGTTTGCTTGGAGGCTTTCAGAGGTGAACTTTCTGTCCCACCTTGGATCATTGAATTGCTAAATATTGTAGAGGTGAACCAATAAACCAATTAATTTTCTTAAAACTGGATCATTGGCAGATATTTACACGTAAAACTGATCTTATCTGAAAACGTCTGATAATCTGTCTCCTTCTGCTTTGCCGTAAAGCAGGGGTGTCAAACTCTAGTCCTCCAGGTCCGGTGTCCTGCAGTTTTTAGATGTGCCACAGGTACAAAACACTGGAATGAAATGGCTTAATCACCTCCTTCTTGTGTAGATAAGTGCTCCAGAGTCCTGCTAATAACCTAATTATTCTATTCAGGTGTGGTGCAGCAGAGGCACATCTAAGTTGCAGGATACCAGCCTTGAGGACTGGAGTTTGACGCCTGTCCTGAAGTGACCCAATTCAGATTTTATTTTTACTTAACGTGACCTGTATCTGATCTTTTCATGACAGTCTGAACAACTCAGGTCGGATTCTTTTTGAATGCGAACCAGACCGCCTGGGTATCTGATTCAAATGCGACCTAACGTCCGGGTCGCACTCATCCGACCTGAAGGTCATTGAAACTTGACAAACGTCACCGTTCTGCGTCCTGATGCACACAAGCGGGAAGAAACACAACAACCACGACGGATGACAACGACGATTAAGTTGTTACTGTGCTGCTCCGGTCGGATTTCAAAATCATAAGATATGCTACACTATTAGCGTCCATGTTTACTTCCGCAAACACGGCGCGCTACTTCTTCTTTATGGAGGTTGGCACGACACTGAACATGCTGATGTCATTATGCCCTCTACTGAACATGCTGATGTCATTGCGCCCTCTACTGAACATGCTGATGTCATTGCGCCCTCTACTGAACATGCGGGACACTTTTAGGTAGTTTGTAGTTCACACTGGAGATCACATACAGGTCGTATATATTTGGCTGCAGCGTGAACAAAGACTTAAAAACTTTGTTGCTACATTTAGCACATTTAGCACATTCAGCGTTGGCCAATATCGTAATCGGCAGGTCAGGCTTCTTAAAGATCAATGATTGATCAGAAAACTGCAATAGATCAACCCTTAAAAATTTGCATTGTTTTTTAACTGAAAAAATAACTAAGATAAATGTTAGATGTGAGTCCAGGCTTAGGTCGGTGCCAAAAGTTGCTTCCAAATCGGGTTGAGCGCTAAGGACTTAAGGTTTCATCACGATATTTTGTGATAACAATAAAAGGGATGATAAGAAGTTTATTACTTCTTCTAGGTAACTATAACACAGAAATTATAGCCACACAAACACAAATACTGTTTTTGAAAAACATTCACATTTATAATCCACTTCTCTAGAACATCAGTCACTTAAAAAGTGTGATTTGTATCTGTAACAAAACTGAAAGTGAAAAAATTCCCAAAGATACTGAAGATAATAATGGGCGGAGTATTAAGCCTTGGGGAACTCCGCTTTTAATCAGCAGAATCTTTCCGTCGGTAGAGAGAACAACCAGAACAGATAGTCTGGATTTTTGTTTCTCTTTCTGAAACAGTAGGCAAAGAAGAGAAGAGTAAAGTTTGTCTATTTTCTGCAGATTAGCCAGAAACCTTGAAGTCAGATTGTAATAATTGGGCGAGCCGTGTCGCCGCTCCGTGAGCAGAGAGGGTAAACTGTTCTGGCTCTCGTTCTCCATTTGGCGTGCAGAGATCAAAGCCATGAGGCAGTGCGGCGGCGGAGAGGGGGTGAGATGGACAGCAGCCATTTCTCCGGCTTTTAATTGGCTCAGGGGTGCTCCCTCAGATCCGGTGCAGCGGAGCGGGCCGAAACACCCTGTGATGGTGTTAGAAAGCCTGAGCAGAGCCCCCCCAACCCTCCAACACCACTAAAAGCCAAACAAAACCCTGAATCAGTGAGCAGAGCAGACACACAGGAAAAACAGAAGCCTGAGGGGCGACTGAGGGGGAGGCGAGTCGGCCAGACCCTGCAGCTCCACACAGAGCCCCGTCTGTGCCTCAGAACAAACGGCTGGCTGGGTCGCAGTAAAAACAACGCGCAGGGTAAGTACACACTGGCTCTCCAACACACACAGGGCCGCATTCCATGCATATATGTGGTAAACAGTATGGTGATGGCAGGTAACCCGTCCACACACACCGTCTTCAAATCAAACGAAATTGGTGTCAAACTTTTTGTGCAGCAACGATTTTTGTTTGTGCTGCTATTATTTTATGAATATGAATGTTTCCAGAGGTCAAAGGTCAACCAACCCTCCCCCCCATATTTATAAAATCACAAATTTGGTGTCAAGTCAAATATTCTAGCAAAATTAACTTAATGTTGATCTCTGGTGACCTCTGGAAACTTTAAAAAAACATTTTATGCATTTTTCATGATCATGTAACTATGTTACCTAAAAATACTCTATATATCAAATATGACAAAAGACATTTTACTTCCTGGTTTA